ACAAAAATGCGTCTCCCTCTTTTTGAGACGGAGGGACGCCGGATGCGCTGAAACGCGCATGCGTCAAAGGCGCCTGCGAGTATATGGCAGGACCGGCTCTCTGCATGGCAACGCCGGCATGACCCGACAAAATGAACACTGGTGATCACGTGCACCGCGTCACGTCGAAATGTATTGGCGCCTTGACTGAGGCATATAGTCATGTTCTCACATGACACGCATCTCATGATTATCATGTTCGCACCAGTCACATACCTTCGTCATCTATTGACGTCACGTAATACCAAACTTCTCCATGTTATACCGAAGAAGGTATAACATGGAGAGAATTGAACACGCTCTGAAAAGCGGAGGAAGCTTCAAAGCAGTGAAGAGGAAACTAGGGATAGGCAAAAATCGGATGTATGCACTAAGGGACAAAGAAGGCAAAATAACTACCAATATGGATACGATAGTTAAAATAGCGGAGGAGTTTTACAGAGATCTGTACAGTAGCCGGGACAACCACGACTTTAATACTATAAGAACTAGAAGTAACCTAGATGACACCCCCCCCCCCCCCCCCCAGTAATGATAGAAGAAGTCAGAAAAGCTTTGGAGAGCATGTAAAGAGGCAAAGCCGCTGTTGAGGATCAGGTAACATCAGATCTGCTGAAAGATGGAGGACAGATTGTGTTAGAAAAACTAGCCACCCTGTTTACGAGATGTCTCCTGACGGGAAGAGTGGTTCGGCTTTGCGGTTATTACCTATATATAGTCAGAGTCTTGGAAGAACGCTAACATCATCTTAATACATAAGAAAGAAGATGACAAGAACTTGAAGAATTACAGGCCGATTAGCTTGCTCTCTGTAGTATACCAGCTATTTACAAATGTAATTGCTAACAGAGTAAAGAAAACATTAGAATTCAGTCAACCAAAGGAATAAGCAGGATTTCGAACAGGCTACTCAACAATCGACCACATTCATACTATCAATCAGGTAATAGAGAAATGCTCAGAATATAACCAACCACTATACATAGCTTTCATAAATTACGAGAAGGCGTTTGATTCAGTAGAAATATCAGCCGTGATGCAGACACTGCGGAATCAGGGCGTCGATGAAGTATATATAAACATCCTGGAAGAAATCTACAGGGGATCAACTGCTACCATAGTGCTTCATAAAGAAAGCAACAGAATACCAATCAAGAAGGTTGTAAGGCAGGGGGACACAATATCCCCAATGCTATTTATCGCGTGCTTACAAGAGGTTTTCAGAAGCCTAGAACGGGAACAGTTACGGATAAAAGTTAATGGAGAGTACCTTAGTAACTTGCGCTTCGCCGATGACGTTGCATTGCCGAGTAACTCAGGGGATGAATTGCAACTCATGATTACGGAGTTAGACAAGGAGAGCGGAAAGGTGGGTCTTAAAATGAATCTGCAGAAAACTAAAGTAATGTACAACAACCTCGGAAAAGAGCAGCGTTTCGAGATAGGTAATAGTGCACTTGAAGTTGTAAAAGACTATGTCTACTTAGGGCAGGTAATAACCGCAGAGCCGAACCACGAGATTGAAGTAACTAGAAGAATAAGAATGGGGTGGAGCACATTCAGCAAGAACTCTCAAAATATGACAGGTAGATTGCCACTATCCCTCAAGAGGAAGGTATATAATAGCTGTATCTTGCCGGTACTTAGCTACGGAACAGAAACCTGGAGACTTACAAAGAGGCTTCAGCTTAAATTGAGGATGACACAGCGAGCAATGGAAAGAAAAATGGCAGGTGTAACCTTAAGAAACAAGAAGAGAGCAGAGTGGGTTAGGGAACAAATGGGGGTTAAGGATATCATAGCTGAAATTAAGAAGAAGAAATGGACATGGGCCGGGCATGTAGCACGTAGACAGGATAACCGCTGGTCGTTAAGGGTAACTAACTGGATTCCCAGAGAAGGCAAGTGGGTTAGGGGGAGACAAAAGGTTAGGTGGGCAGATGAGATTAAGAAGTTTACGGGTATAAATTGGCAGCAGCAAGCACAAGACCGGGTTAACTGGCGGAACATGGGAGAGGCCTTTGTCCTGCGGTGGACGTAGTCAGGCTGCTGCTGCTGCTGCTGATGATGATGATGATGATGATGAATACCAAATTTGGTACATGCGAGTCTAGCGAAACGGCCGCGAGCGCATCATGAGTGTGGCATGTAGCCATGTTGTTACATGACACTCATGTTGTGATTATCATGTTTGGATGTGTCATTTACCTATGTCATCCGTTCGCGTTGCGTAATACCGAGTTTAGTCCATGTGAAGCTAGCAAAACGGCCACGAGCGCATGATGAGCGTAGCATGTAGTCATGTTGTTACATGACATGCATCTCATGACTATCATGCTTGCGCAGGTCACATACCTTCGTCTTTCATTCCGGTCCCGTAATACCAAATTTAGTATAAGTGAAGCTAGCGAAACGGCCCCAAGCGCATCATGAGGGAGGCATGTATACATGTTGTTGCATGACACGCATGTCATGATTTTCATGTTAGGGTCTGTCGCTTGTGCTAGCCATGCAATCATGTCATACCATAACAGTTTTACAAGGTGCCATGTGAACACAACCACCACAAGAGCTGAAGGGCCATGAAGTATAAATCATGACATTCATGACATACATATCATGATTTTCATGTTATGGCTAGTGAAATATGTTCTTCATACAGTGATGTTATACCATACCAAGTTTGGTATCGATAATATTATCGAAACGGCTAGGAGAGCTAAAAGTCGTAGGCGGCTGGTAGATAGATAGATAGATAGATAGATAGATAGATAGATAGATAGATAGATAGATAGATAGATAGATAGATAGATAGATAGATAGATAGATAGATAGATACGCTCAATTTCGCCGAAGTTCGCTAAGAAATGGTTCGCATTTAAAAATTCTTAACGAGGTACCAGTGACAGCATTAATTGTAACGTGTAACCGTCAACACTGCATACACAAGGTTGAGCGAGCAGTGAAGTGCTTTGCTCCCATGACTGAGACGGTCGCCATGGCATTGCTCATGGGCAGCATGTGGGAGAAAAATTCTGTCACAGATTCCATCTCTTACTACTTCGCTCGCATGTGTCACTCAATTGTTTCCATTACCTTTAAACGCAATGACAGCGTATGTTATTCAGGAGAGATTGCTGCATGCCGCTAAGTTCATTGGCAGGGTGACTTGTATAGTCAGAACGTAGCAGCTGTGTCCGAGAGCGAAACAGGAGGCGACTTCGATTTTGTTTTGCGCTGTTACGACACCCTCTTTTCGCTGCCCACTTTTACGTTGCCGCGTCCAATTCCGTGGCACATTCCATCCCTTTGCACTCAAGCCCCATGTGCCAGTCAATTCTTTTATTTCCGGTTGTGCTCTTTTTTCTTCATTCTTTCCAGCAGGCCGAAGGGGCCTTGGAACACTCTTTAAGTAGCCATGGATTGGACTCACTAAGAGAGCTTACTGCCTCACAAAAATCACCACCGCATTTTTTTTATAACCCGTGTAGTAAGAACGCAGTTGCGAAGATTTGTCGCACGTTGCAATTGCTTTCTTTCTTCTCTCATCCCGATGAAAGTGCTTGAAGCTAAGCAGGGAGGAATGGCACGGGGAAAGAAAATACGTCAATCACGGCTCGTGACTTTGAGCCATTTTCTCTCTTTTCTTTTTCGATTACGTGTCTTTTCAGTTTGATTGCGCGCACACATGGACAAGTCGCGGCCTCCCGTGGCGTCCCGAGTAACAACCAAGCGCGCCGTGCTTAAATCAACCAATGGCTGACGCAATGGCTGGGAGCGAGGGATATTTGAGCTTGTATCGTCATTTATCGAATAAAGGGAAAGCAATCTTCAGCTGACTTTGAGAATTAATTGTGCATTAGAGGCAGCGGGCAACGCTATAATACTTGGGTCGCGTTTTATCGGGAGTCTCAACTACCGATCGCCAAGCATTTTCTGACCGGCTCAAAAAACGTTGCGGAGCCCCTTAACATCTCTCATTTTTCGAGGGGACGCAGCAACTACGGTGCTCACCTGCTGAACAGAAGGTCGCGGGTGCAGTCCCAGCTGCGCCAGTGACATTTCGATAGAAGCGAAAATGTTTGAGGGCCGTGTACTTAGATTTAGGTGCAGGTTAAGGAACTTGCGGTGGTAGAAATTTCCGGAGCCTCCACGGCAATGTCGTTTAAAATCACGTGGCAGTCTGTAGCGTAAAGCCGTACATGTTGGTATAACATTCCCTGACGACGATTCCTAAACTGATTAGTCGTAGACGTTCGCAAGTTATGCGTAATAGCTGCGTTTCTGTCAGAAATGTATTTTAGTTTTTGTATATATGTGTTTACTGTTACCGCTGTATAAATTTTAGATATATGCTTATTAGTTATTTGTAATATAGAACATCTTTAAAGCAGTAAACATTGGTTTCTTGTACTTAAACATATTGTCCATGCTCTGCGCATTACGTCATTTTCGTTAGTACATGAGTTTTTTAAAGAAGCTCAACTTGAACATGCATGCTTTAGTGGAATGTCTCGGATATGAAAATGATAAAAGAAATAGGTTCATGTAACTTAACATCACCTTCTTATTATTGAATTGCACTAAAATGACGTTCATGTAAAATGACGTTCATGTAATAGGTTGAATTTCTGACAGTAGAACGTTCTTCAGGTGCGACTCGTATGAAGCGCTGAAATTCCTGACCCATTTGGATTCTTTAATGCGCACCTAAATCTAAGTACATGGGCGTCCAGTTTTTCAGCTACATCAAAATGCGACTACTGTGGATGGAATCGTCAATTTTTTGTGTCAAAATGCTGCGCGTTGCGCTGTAAAAACGTCGTTTGAGAAAGCGAACATACTAAGTCCCCCTTCAGTGAGAACACACTGGCCGTATCCATCGAGTCATATTGTGCGACGTATTCAATGTCTGACTCATATAAGTAGAAAAGCAAAGAATATTGCCTAGTTACACTCACCATTGCCGTTTTGTGTCCATATTGTTGCAGTCTTTGCGTCAAGAAGGCGTACATGGAGACATCCCCAAGGTCTTCCAAGTCAGGGTACGGCGAATAGACAATTCCATCTACTATTTTTGCTTGCATCTGAAATAACAGTGAATTTGTAAGTTACGTCTGCAGAAAGGAAAGGAAAGCATTTTAAACTTATATGTACATACATACGCTTTTGCCACAATTCTGCTGCGAACAATTTATGCTAGCCTATATGGTTTGTTTGTGTATCTATCATGATGCCAGTGGAACCTATTTGTAGTATAACGTAGCGCGCTTCTAACGCGATAGTGTTAATGGCACCGTGTCGCTGAATATCAAGTGTTCTCTGTGGTGGGGGCTTGACCCATGAGAAAAAATCATCTGTACTGATCTAAAAACTAAAAATTCCGGAGCAGGTGACAGACATTTGATTTTGACGCCTGATTTCTAACAGTATAGCCCCTGCAAGAAAGGTAAAGCATACATGTCAGTTCAAAAGTGGTCCAGTGTCACCATTTCCTCTTTTTCATGGTGGGCTAAGATCAATTTGTAATGAAACAAGCGATCAGACTGGCCCGTTCTTCGCAATTGCAAAGATGTTAAGCTTTCTGGACAATGCTTCCTTGCACCTGGCGTCGTCTTCTATTAAGATCAAATGAAATGCGCTCTTTATGAAGCATCCGTGCCGGTAGCTTACCTGGTTCAACCACAATTTACGATAGAAACACTGCGTATTCCTCGATACGGTTCAGATAATGACGTATTTTAAAGCGATCTTCGATTTTGCGACTCCTCGGGAACTGATAATACTGAGCGGATGCTGGCAACTGTCTGCCCTGCAGAGGTTGCCCTGATGCTACTAAACATATGAGCTTTTAGAGTGCTCTTCTTTGTGTTTCGAAACTATTAATGATCTGGGAGGAAATTTTGGGAGAGATAACGCGACAGCAATAAGATAAATGCACAATCAAGACGGGCAGGGGAATTTAAAGTTTTACTGAAACAAATGTCCCACGAACAACATCGGAACAAAGAAACTATGCGTTGCACAGCGAATTTTCAACCCAGTCTAGAATCAAAGGCCGCCGTACGGAAGCCTGCCAATAATGATATACTAATAAATTGAAAACCATTCAGACTCGCATCACCGTTTTGCTGAACATTTGGGTTGCCTCAAGGTCAGTGTAACAACTCCTACAGTACAGTGCGTAGCACTGTACTGTAGGAGTTGTACTGTAGGAATTGCACTGTAGGAGTTGCACTGTACTTTTTGCAACGCACTGGAGAAGCTGAAGGACGGACCCTTGTCGGAAAAAAGCATATTGCGCCATCGACAGAACGTGACGTCGTAGAAGAAGGGCTCGCCTTAGCCCCTGCTCTTTTTGCGATCGACCGGCCTTTTTGAACAACTTTAGCCGAACACCATTCCTGCGTGCGTTATTTTCATCCAGCGCCTGAGTGTGTTTTTACTCTCCTTTTTACCTTTGTTTATCTAAACAATAATTTACGACCCTATTTCTACACCCTAGTGCTGGGTAACAAGCCAGATGTTAATATTTGGTTAACCTCCCGGACCTTCTCTCTCTCTGAAAGTTTGCTCGTCATCAAAACAACAGCCAGAGCACTGCTCTTTCTTGATCGCTATACGTTTCACATTTTCTGGTAGGGTATAACACTAGCTTTAGGGGCATCGAGGACACTCGCTAAGGTGTTTATGCTGAACAGGTTTTATGATTACGCAGAGATGAAGGTGAACATATATGCTCCATACAGTGGATGTGGGGATAGCTGCCCTAGTAGCTCTGTTGGCAAAACATCGGACGCGTCATTCAAAGGAAACAGGTTCGGTCTCTATCCACAGCAAGTTATCTTTTCGACTACTTTTATTTCTTCACGTTTACATTAGGTTTAGTACTAATAACGCTCCATATAGTTTCCTTGGCGTTATAATCTCTTAGTTCTCGTTAATAACGCGTCTAACAAAGTTAAAAGAATCCCTAAGATTTCGGCTTGCTTCTTTTGGTTTAGACCACAAAAAAAAATTGCCCGCAGCTTCCCTCGGGGGAACACTGAGGAGGATGCGGAGCATATAATTGGTTAACGGGGTGTTAAAGTGCGACTTACTTGGGTCGATGGCTAAATTGGTTAACGTGGTTGTGAAATGGGGTGTTAAATTGCGACTTACTTGGGTCGATGGCTAAATTGGTTAACGTGGTTGTAGGAGGGGGTGTTAAATGAGTGAACACGTACACACGTATGCGAAAGGGCGGCGCTGGTCGAAGGGACGTCGATCATTGTGTTTGTGGATTCGTTGGAATTCATTTCACCGCGACCTTGGACGTCGACGCGCCGTACAAACCAACCGACGAGCGGCAACTGAGCGAGCGAGCGCCGACCTTGAGTATATATACAGCACGACGGCGCATGCACTGTCAGCTGTTGAATGTTCTCGAAGCGCGACGCCACATGCGCGTCCACTGGAGAATCAGGAGAATTGTAGATGTCGAACGCTGTGTGTAGAGGAGGAAGGGTGCACAGATGGTGGAGGAGTGAAGCGCGCGCGGTGTGTAGAGGAGGAAGGGATGCACAGATGGTGGAAGAGTGGGCGACGGCGCGACGGCGCATGCGCGCGCGTCAGCTGTCGAATGTTCGAGAAGCGGTGCGGACGGCGCGGACGGCGCACTACAAGGCGCGAGTATAAGATGCTTCCGCATCTAAAACTCGCACGTTTAGGATTCATGAAGAGGCGACAATCTTTGCGAAGTACTCACGGCACTTAGAAACGCTGGTACCCACTATCCAACAAAAAACAACAGATGTTCAATGCTTCCCGCGCGTTCTTGGAGTGGTGACTAGTCAGCGTAACGCAGACGACGCTGACGGAGCGGCGAGCGCCGAGACACCTTGACAATGTAATCAGCCAGACGAGCCACCCCTAGATAAAACAGCGGACGCGTTCTGCGCCGCAAAGGTCGCTAAGAAAACCTCCTCACAGTGTTTAGTGTTGCTTTCGTTTCTTGTGAGGAGTTATACAATTAGACAGGATCAAGCGAGTTGTTACGTAGAAAATCAAGCAATAATAATTTGCATGATTCTCATAATGGTGTCGTACGTCGTATAGATATCGGCTCTATTGGCAGCGGCACAAAGGTAGCGTAGTATTAGTAATAAATACAACTGTTATCTTAGTTTTGAGCGTGAAGCTAGAATGTGATGAAGTGAGACACTATAGCTGAGGCTCCAAAAATTTCGACTACACGGTGTTCTTCAACGTCCATCTTAATATAAGCACACGAACCTCCTCCAGTTTGCTCCCATCGAAATGTGGCCACCATAGTTGTGATTTCATTACTGCGATTACCTTCAGCAGTGAAGGACTACAAGACCACTTGGGCGGCTTAGTGCGGAATTAGTGAAGCTTCCGTGTGTGGGGCACAATGGGGACAAAATAAAAAAAAGGCACAGTTAATAGAAAATTTCAAAAGAGATAATTCCTCCAAATGATAAACAGTTGTTCTGCTGTGCATTTCAGATCTAACTTTTCATGACGAAAAAGTTATTATGCTATAGCAGAAGCGTGTTAAAAGGGGAATTTTTTTTTTGCATAGATCACGACACACGAACGATCCCGTTGATAACAGCGAGAAGTGTGACAGCCCGAGTGCGTTAGCTATGTTGCATTGCGGCAGATGTACGACGCGTAATAAAAAGTTAAAGTAAAAAACAAACATGGTTGATCCCTTCGTCGTAGGAATCGGTAGAACATGAAAATAGGGCGCGTCTTTACAAATGTAGGCAAGCGCTTACTGTACATTGGCATAAGAGAGCTTACAGAATGTCTGTTGGTGTTCGACAGCTAAAGTAGCGCTTTTCATAAATGTATCCACGTTGATGCTAGTGGAACAACTCCATCCCGATAACTGGCACCCATGATCAAGTGCTGAACTAAACATGCCCCTGTGGCCATGAATTCCTGTAAGAGCTGTAGTAGATAAAGGTGAGAGCAGAAACCAAGGAAACCGGTGTGACATCCAAAAGGACGTGACTGATTGGACGCCAAACTTAGGCTATGATTGCCTACTCGCGGCATGTTAGAATTATTGAACGACACTGCCCGATTCGAAAGAAACCCTACGCACGTTGTGTCCTCTTTGTTAGCCGGCCACGATTTTTTACGTGAATGGCGAGCGTAGGCGGGGAACGCCAAGGTAAAGCGAAGTAGAATCCAGGTGAAGCAGGCCCGGGGCGTTGCTCTAATTGTTGCAGAACTATTTTTGGTATGGATGCAGGCCATGATCCATGCCGACGCTTTTGGTAGGGTCGCCATCTGGCAGTTTGTTAGGGTGTTGAAAAAAAATTGCACTTCTTTAATTGGAAGCACAGCGAATAGGACGGACTCGTGGAAACGATGTGTTGAAGTAACTAATCGCCGATTTCACCCTCATATGATGTACCATTAAACTTAACCAAGAATACTGCGAGAGGGCAGTGGTAGATGTGATATTAATTTTTGGAATTAACGTGTTATGTCACTGATGCAGACTGTTTTTTGGTTAATAGGAGGTGAGACCTCGTCAGACCTTTAGCCGTTAGTGTTGGCCTCCCGCAGGAAAAAAGTTTGTATTTTTTTCTCCTGCAAATAAACAACGTTGAATGTCGAATGTTGAAAACGTATTAGGTTGGTCGAAGAGTTGAAAATTCTTCGAGTATGCTTTTCTTCTGGTTTACGTTGGGATACCCACGTCAATTATCTTTGCGGTAAGCTGTCAGCGGTTACCGGTGCTGTGGCGCATATTCTTGCCCACGGGGGCAAAGCTGCAAACTTATTGTGATCTTTTCCTGTCATATGTACACACACTCTGTTTGAAAACGCAGGCAAACTAACTATCATACTCTACAAACACACGTATCTTGTATACATGCTTCAAGATACACCACCAAATGTATATAGCAGTAATAATACGAAGCACATGGGAATATTTTGACGACAATATAGTTTAAAACTGGTCACCCATCAACAAAGGCACACACGTTACTGCATCCTTAAAACCACGTGGGTGCATAGCAAGGTAATAAAGATTTTATGCTCTAAGTATTTGAAGTACGCACAAGGGACATGATATCGCTATCGCGTTCAACTCTGAAAGGCGAAGCTTAGAAATCTCGCAATTGTTTTGTGTTGCAAGTTTGCATAAATGCCAATTAACTTAAAAAAGTTAGGTATTAGAGGTAAAAATTTGCAAAAAAGTCTAATATTATCCAGAATTTATTATGTCCGCTTTAGTTGGAAAAACAGCAAATTAGGAAGAAAATAATTCATAGATTGCGTGAATATTTTTTTTAGTCGCTGAAAAAATGGTACCCTAAAATTACCAAATATCACTGGGACGTGTATGACCTACCGGTGATCTTAAAGATGTAACTATTCATTCGGGCTAAAAGCTTGTACCTCTTGCTTCCTTCAAACTACGGCACGTTGTACACTGATAGCGGTGAACAGAGCGCCAGTCGTTGATAATCTGATCTGTGGTAATGTGCACGGGCATTTATAAATGCGGCATCAAACATTTGAACCTTATCGCTGGTGGTAGCGTGGGCTTCAGAAGAAATTTCATTGTTCGTGTTCGCACGCTGAAGCCTATCGTGTGACATAACCTCGAAGGTTCCCGCGGAAATACGACAGCCATTTGCGAGAATTAGTGGTTATGCGAGTAAGGAACGAGTTACATTTAAAAAAAAAAGGGGGGCGAAAGAAGCGAGTGTGGCAGTATGACTGTTTTTGGAGACAGACAGAAGCTATTGATCGATATATGGGTTTGAACGTCCCAAAACCCCCATATGATTATGAGAGACGCCGTAGGGGAGGGCACCGGAAATTTTGAACACATGGCGTTTTTTTGACGTGCACCCAAATCTGAGCACATGGGCCCACAACATTTCCACCTCCATCGGAAATGCAGCCAGTGCAGCCGGGATTCGATCCCGCGACCAGCGTGTCAGCAGCCGAGTACCTTAGCCACTAGACCACCGCGGCGGGGCACAGGCCGAAGCACATGCACCCCCCTCTCCCCCCCCCCCCAACATTCTCGTTTTCCCATTTAAAGAAATAGAAAAACTCTTCCTACTGTAGAGGTGTCCTCCATATGACTTGCAACACGAGAGCCCGTGGCCTGACGAGTTCAAAGGTTGCGCATGGCTTTAACTTGTTTTTATTTCAATAACTAAATAATATTATCTTCTTCGGGATCATAACTAAGGGACAAAAACGCATTTAGTAATCGAAATATGGGCTAGTAGAAGTCTTGTGAAATACTTGAACTCGTGAGAACATGAGCGCCCTTGTTGAAAGTCATATTGAGCAATACTGTACGGGAAAGAAGACACGAAAAGGCAGGGCGACTGAATCTTGAAGTACTTACCACGGCGCAATAACCTGGATACTTCCAATCTGACGACGAGCACTGGCTCCTAAAAGCTTCGGCGTTGCTTCGGTATGGCGATAGTTAGACTGACAGGGTCCGAATGAGCTCTCCTGGAGCCGCAAAGCAATCAAACCGCGAGGTACAGTCACACTGTCATGCCGCGAGCTACATCAGCGGATGCGTTGGGTCGGGAACACCTGTATGAGAATTTGTCCGTTTTGTGTACTTCATTTTCCGCTTCTTTTTTTCCTTTGTTTCTTCTAAATTTAGGCAATCGCACGTGATGTGCTTGATTGAGCAGCGGTAGAGAAGTTCTTATTTATATTACACCCACGGGTTGCAATTTGCGGATGTGTATTACGCGCCGCACCAGACAATGTTAGAAAACAACAAGAAAGAATCCGGATAGAAAAATAGAAGTGACTAATAAAAACGAATGTAATTAATTTTATTGTTCTTGTGAGACTGAAATACTTGAGGAAAAAAAAATAAAACGCATATTTCCTGCCATTTTATTTCTAGTCACGTGTCAAACAACCTCAGCTATTTGCAAGTTCGAAGTCTGTTGGAGATTTATCACTGTGCTGAACTAGAAATCATATGGCACTTTTAAGTGCGTTTTATGCGATGCTTGTACGCGACTGTTCTAGTTCTTGTGTGGGGTGGGTATTTTAAAATAAAATATGCTTAATTAATTTGACGAGTCATTTCAGCACCTTAAAGAAGCAAAACCGGTCACTGCAGCCGATTGCTTTAAAAACGGTTTTAATATATCTTTATGCTTTTTTGAAAGCCGAATTCAGTTTACTGTTCTAGGTCACATCGAAATGAAAACCAGGAAAGTATACAGACTAAGTCCTGTGTTCGAGGACTGCAGCGGGACAATCAATTGATAATACAGCTAACAAAGAAGCATAAAAAAAAGAAGGTCTGAGCAAGCGAACCAAAAACGATGAAAACTTGAAAAAATTATAACAACTGATAAAGTACATACATTGAGACGCTGTGTCAAAGTAAAAGTACTGTGCACCAGCAATACAATAAATTATAGCATGGATTATGTATACATATAAGAGGCGATATGCTGAAGTAGGTCAATTAGGTTTTGTGGGCGAATAAAAGCACTATCACACGACTGCCTTCATCAAAAAAAGAAAAGATTTTGTAGTTAAGGGTAAATAATTTCAAATACAATCCACTGTGGTTATGTAGCGGTTACGTTTCTCCGTTGCTGACCCGAAGATTACGGGTTGCATCCCTGCCGCCGTGGCCGTATGTGACAGAAGCGAGATGTAGAGTATACCATGCACTGTGCAATATGAATGCACATTTAAAACACTCGTTGGTTTAATACGTTTTTAGAGTCCTCCACTTGGGGGATTCCTCCCAACGATATCTTGGTTTAGGGAGTAAAACCGAAGATATTACTACCATTTTATGGAAATGAATGTCGAATTCATGTCGCGGTATATGGTTAGAATGT